TGACCAGGATGGTCTCGATCTCTTGACCTCGTGATCCACCCGCCTCGGCCTCCCAAAGTGCTGGGATTACAGGCGTGAGCCACCGCGCCCAGCCTTATTTATTTATTTATTTGACAGAGTATCGCTTTGTTGCCCAGGCTGGAGTGTGGTGGCACAATCCCTGCTCGCTGCAACCTCTTCTTCCTGGGTTCAACAATTCTGCCTCAGCTTTCCAAGTAGCAAGGATTTCAGGTATGCGCCACCACACCCAGCCAATTTTTGTATTTTTAGTAGAGGTGAAGTTTCATCATGTTAGCCAGGCTGGTCTTGAACTTGTGACCTCAGGTGATCCACCGACCTCAAGTGATCCGCCTTCCTCAGCTTCCCAAAGTGCTGGGATTGCAGGGGTGAGCTACCATGCCTGGCAAAACCCCTAGTAAGGTTCTTAAGCTGTACATGAAGTGGAATCGTCAAATTTACATCTAGAAAATTAAAACAATTTATGTTCCCATTTCAAATGTATGGGAGTGCCAATTTAACCCTATCCTTGTCCATATGTGGTATTCATTTAAAAACATTGCCACCCAGATGTTTTTAAAAACTTGATTACCCTAGACATCTAATCCTCACAATGCTTGAAGGATACTTTATCTCTGTAATCTTTGAAATTCTATCAGAATCTCTTCGCTTTAAATTTGGGTAAAACACAAAATGTATACATTTATTTTTTTTCCTTTCCTTCTCTTCCTACCCCCTTTCTTCATAAGCATAGTTTTCTTCAGTAATTTCATTGGTTACTACTTCAGCTTCATTTGTTCTAGAAAGTGGACGTTTTGAAGACGCAGTCCATGTCTGTCTTCTTCTCTATTGTATCATGGCTGTAGTGTACTAGATGATCGATGCTCGATAAATTTGTCAAAAAAAAAATACTGTTTTCTTTCTGTACACAGTATGGGTAAGGTTGATCTACATATTTCTAACATTTTTTTCTTTCATCTTGTTAATCTATTTTGTCCTTTTGAGTTGTAGGATAATTCATTTACTGATTTTTTTTGTGTTACTAATTTTTGTTTGGTTATATTTCATCTGCTACTTATTGCTTCTATTGCTGTTTTAAATTTGGCAAATCATGCTTTTCATCTCTGAAAATCTTTTCATCTCTGAAATCTTTCCTCAGATTATTCTGATTTCATTTTTACAGATGCAAAATTCACTCAAATTCTTTTAAAATATTAAGCACATTGCATTTCATTATTTTTCTTCGATTTATACCAGATACTGTGAGACTGTCAAGTTTTTAAATCTCTTTTTCAGCTCTAGGGCATTTAAACTTTAATATTAGTGTGTTTAAAACTCCTTAGGACTGGGAAATAAAAGAAAATGGAGTACCCAGAAATCTTCCTTCAATCCAGCCACCTCAACACATAGTTAAAATGTGGTATTGGTGCTGGACACAGTGGCTCATGCCTGTCATCCCAGCACTTTGGGAGGCTGAGATAGGCAGATCCTGTGAGCCAGAAGTTTGAGACCAGTCTGGGTAACATGGTGAAACCCCATCTCTACAAAAAATTAGTCACACATGGTGGCCTGTGCCTGTGGCCCCAACACTTGGGAGGCTGAGGTCGGAGGATTGTTTGAGCTTAGGAGGATGAGCTTGTAGTGAGCTGTAATTGTACTCCAGCCTGGGTGACAGAGCAAGACCCTGCCCCCGCCCCCGCAAAAAAAAAGTATCATGAAATTTTTATTAGTATAAAGTTAGGTCTAAGAGTTTTATTTGCAAAGATTACCATGTGGGAGTAATCTCTAGACAGTTTTGCCTTCCTGGCCTCTTTTGTAAGACCCCTCCAAAGGTGGAGAACTGGATCAGGAAAATAAGCGGAGCTTGAATACACACTGCGATTTTTGAGAGGACCATGAATTCAGAACTTGAAAGAACTGGAGTTACATCTTTCCTTAATTACGCTTTGGAGTTTTGCCCTCGGGACTGAGAACTGAATGTGAGTTCCTCTTCCCTAGGAGTCCAGTCTAATCCTAGACATACATGGTAATAAGCACAGTCAGTGTGACAGAAATTGGTGGTGTGAAGGTAAAGTGAAGGGACCCATAATTCATGGTAGATGTTTTCCACTGAGGGGCCAGCATGGGTTTTATGCAGAATGGAGGACATTTGAGATTTCATTTTGGGGGAATAGGAGACTGTAACCTGGGATGGATAAAAAAAATTAAAAGCAATGCTTACACTCAGGTTGGAAACCTTGAATTTGTACTGGTGCTAATTATGGATTTTTTCCTAGTAGTATTTACCGCCCCTATACAGGGGTGGAAAATGAAACTAGTGTATTTACTCAAAATAGGTGATTGGAAGGAAAATGGGACTGAGCAAAAGTACTGCTTTATAATCAGCCCCAGATGTTGGGATAAGGCTGCTAGAGACTCATTACTTTTCACATATAATGTGAAATTAATCATTAAAACTTTAAGTAAAAATGGAAGTTTTTGGCCAGGCGTGGTGGTTCATTTCTGTAATCCAAGCACTTTGGGAGGCAAAGGTGGGTGGATCACTTGAGGTCAGGAGTTCAAGACCAGCCTGGTTACCAACAGGGTGAAACCACATCTCTACTAAAAATACAAAAATTAGCCCAGTGTCTTGGCTGATGCTTGTAATCTCAGCTACTTGGGAGGCCAAGGTGGGAGGATCACTTGAACCCAGGAGACAGCAGTTGCAATGAGCCAAGATCACACCACTGCACTCCAGCCTGAGAGACAGAGCAAGACTTTGTCTCAAAAAAAAGCAACCAACCAACCAAACATACATGGTATGTTTTAGCCCATTGTACTTACTCTCTTGTCCAAGCTCAAATTGTCCCTTTTATAGCCTGTAGTGCTACTTCTGCCTGGCTTTTGGGCCTTGTAACAATCCCGTTTATGCTTAGTTTCCTTGTTTTCCAGTGTGACACAATGTTCTTGGCTTATCTTGCATATTTGCTGCCCAGCTACTTTTCCAAGAAGAATGTGAACGTTTAAAACAAAAAGTTTCAGGGCCCCAGTCACACCCCAAACCAGCTTAATCAGAATCCCTCGTGAAGATAGGGCCTAGATACAAACAGGGTCCCCAGAGTGGAGTGCAGTGGTGGGATATCAGCTCACTGCAACCTCTGCCTCCTGGGTTCAAGTGATTCTCCTGCCTCAGCCTCCTGAGTAGCTGGGACTGCAGTTGTGAGCAACCATTCTCAGCTAATTTTTGTATTTTTAGTAGAAACAGGGTTTTGCCATGTTGGCCAGGCTGGTCTCCAACTCCTGACCTCAAGTGATCCACCCACCTTGGCCTCCCGAAGTGCTGGAATTACAGGCATAAACCACCACACCCTGCCAGGATACAGTATTTTTTAAAAAGCACACCCAGCCTTGGATGGAAAACCACTTGAGGAGAGTATGCTGCTTTATTGGGCTCTGTAAACAACTTATCTCTGCACAAGATTGGAACTTTGAGTGGAGTCCTTGGCTAAAGCTCTCATTGTACGTGGTGACCTTTCTTCCTCTCCTGCTTAAAGCTTGTTTCAGAATTTTGACCTGAATGCATCTGTGTTGAAAGCCAGGCTTGGTCTGTCATCCCAGGACTCTGTGTCGGTCCCTTTCCTTGCTTGTATGTTGAATTGGGGCTCATCTTCGTGCCTCTGGGAAATAAATTATTTGATAGCTTGCTTAGAGTCTCTCAGTACTTTCCCTTGCCCTTAGAATGAATACCAAAATATGTGACATGCAGTGTAGATTGTGCACAGACTTCAGTGTAGACTGCTTAAGCCCCCTCTTGGTTCCTGGAGTCTGCCATGCTTCCTTCTACCACCAGGCCTTTGCACATGCTGCTGTCTGCTGGGAATGCCTTGCCTTTCCTCATTCTTTAGTTCTCCTCTACTCGTCTTTCAGGCATCAGCTTGACTGACTTCCTTCGGGGAGCATCTCTGAACTTGGTACACCAGATCAGCACCCATGTGCTGACTTTGTCTCATTGGTAATATTTCTCTACCTTCAGGACACATATCAAGGCCCAGAAGTTGCAGTTTTGCATTTGTTTGTGTGATCATTTGATGCATGTCTCTCTGGAGCCTGATTCTTTGGGGCCCACGTCCTGTCTCCACCACTTTTACCTGTGGGACCTTGAACAAATCATTTCATCTCTGGTCCCCCGTTTCTTTTAACTGCAAAACAGGGATAATATAATACTTTCACCTGCCTTGTGAGGTGGGGATGAAGATTAAATAGGGTAATTTGTGTAAAGCACTTAGAACAGAGCTAGCTATTAATAGTAGAGAATCTTGGCAGGTATTACTAATGATTACTGCAGTGGACCACAAGCTCCATACAGGCAGTGGTCATTTCTGTTTGTTTAGATTTGTATGCAGGGTGCTTGGCACATGGATGGTGCTCAGGAAATATTTGCTGGATGAATGAATGAAGTGGAGATAATAGTAATACCATGTTTATAGAATTCCATGAGGATGTAAAATAATGCACATATATAAGTTCTTGGTAGCATGTCTAACTCATAGTAGGTGGTCAATAACTATTCAATGCCTGAATGAAGAAAGTCGGGACAATGGTAATACCAGCTTAGGAGATTGTCGTAGGGATCTAAGGTAACCCTGTAGTACCTTGTAGAGTGCCTAGCACAAAGTAGGTGCTCAGAAAATATTTGTTGAATGAATGAGTGAAGTGGGGATGATGGTAACACCAGCTCTTAGGGTTGCTGTGGGAATAGAGGATAAGGCAGGTCAATAGCTTGTTGTATCGTGGTTGCACCTGGCAGACACTCTGTTGAGTGAAATGAGAGGAGCTGCTATGAGTTTCTTTCTCCTGGGGCTTAGGAGAGAATCCTTTTGGGGTACAGAATGGTATGGAGCAGACACTGGTCCTCTTGAAGGAAGAATGGGCAGCTGATGACTACTTGCCAAGCTCTGACCTGAATGAAAAGTTGAATCATTCCTTTCCCTCTTCCTCCCTAACCTGTTCTTTCCTTCCACTAGAATCCTTGCCCAGAGTCCAGCACCTCCTTCCTGTCCAGGATCACCTTCTGGTGGATCACAGGGTAAGGCTGGGCTCCTGAGACCTCAGGGAGGTGGTGGGGAATGAATGAATGAATGAATGACCACGCTGAGCTCCCTACTTGACTTCTGTCTGCTTCACTCTTCTGCAGAGTTGTCTTGAGTCTGCCTGTGCTGGCCATGTGGTCTCAGAGACACCAACTCTGTCCCCCAGGTCCATCACCTTGAATGTGATAAACACATGAGCCATGAGCAGCTTAAATATCTGCAGAAGGCTTGGCCTGGGACAGTCATACACTGGACTGCTTTTGCTTTAGGTTCAGATTTGGGTTTTTATTTATTTATTTATTTATTAATTTCTTGCCTGGACATCATGTTCAATCTGACAGATTTGGGTTTTTTAAATAAGTATAGTTACTATTGACATTGTTCCCCTCCCGTCCCCCATTCTTTAGAAAAATAATACTGTCTCACCATAGGAAATGTTGGTTAAAAAAACACATGTGGCCGGGAGCGGTGGCTCACGCCTGTAATCCCAGCACTTTGGGAGGCCGAGGCGGGTGGATCACGAGGTCAAGAGATCGAGACCATCTGGTCAACACGGTGAAACCCCCTCTCTACTAAAACTACAAAAAATTAGCTGGGCATGGCGGCGCGTGCCTGTAATCCCAGCTACTCAGGAGGCTGAGGCAGGAGAATTGCCTGAACCCAGGAGGCGGAGGTTGCGGTGAGCCGAGATTGTGCCATTGCACTCCAGCCTGGGTAACAAGAGCGAAACTCCGCCTCAGAAAAAAAAAAAACAAAACACATGTGCAGATCAGTAGTAAGGAAACACCCAGAGGCAACCACTGTCACCATTTTAGTATGCCTCCTTCTGGTCTTTTCTTTTTGAGATGGAGTCTCACTCTGTCTCCCAGGCTGGAGTGCAACGGTGCGATTTCAGCTCACTATAACCTCTGCCTCCTGGGTTCAAGCGATTCTCCTGCTTCAGTCTCCCATGTAGCTAGGACTACAGGCCTGTGACATCATGCTTAGCTAATTTTTGTATTTTTAGTAGAGACAGGGTTTTGCCATGTTGGCCAGGCTGGTTTGAACTCCTGACCTCAGGTGATCGACCCACATCGGCCTCCCAAAGTGCTGGGATTACAGGTGTGAGCCACCATGCCCAGCCACCTTGTGGTTTTCTTTTTGTACATCTTTTTCTGCCCATTGTCAACATCTTATTGGGGATTATTTGAAGACTCTTTCTTCCACCCTAATATGCATCATCTTTTTGGTTTTTTTTGAGACAGGCTTTTGCTCTGTCGCTGAGGCTGGAGTGCCGTGGCACAATCGTAGCTCACTGCAGTCTTGATCTACCGGGTTCAGGGGATGCTCCTGCCTCAGCCTCCCGAGTAGCTGGGACTATAGGCATGCTCCACCATCCCCAACAGATTTTTGTATTTTTTGCAGGGACTGGGTTTCACTGTGTTGCCCAGGCTGGTCTCCAACTCCTAAGCTCACAAAATCCTCCCACCTTGGCCTCCTGAAGTGCTAGGATTATAGGCATGAGCTACTGGTCCTGGCCTATGTTAGCCTTTTTTAATGTAAATTTTTTTAAAGTTGGCGGGGCATGGTGGCTCATGCCTGTAACGCCAATAGTTCGTGAGGCCAAGGTGGGAGGATTGCTTGAGCCCAGGAGCTCAAGATCAGCTTGGGCAACATAGGGAGACTCTGTCTCTACAAAAATAAAAAATAATTAGCCAGTAATAATGGCTCACACCTGAAATCCCAGCTACTCGGGAGGCTGAGGTGGGAGGATCACTCTGGGCCAGGAGCTGGATGCTACAGAGAGCTGTGATCATGCCACTGTACTCCATCCTGGGTGACACAGCGAGATCCTGTCACCAAATAAACAATAAAGGAATGAGGCCCAAGCATGGTGGCTAATGCCTTTAATCTCAGTGTTTTGGTAGGCCGACGGGGCAGATTGCCTGAGGTCAGGAGTTTGAGACCTGCCTGGGCAACACGGTGAAACCCCGTCTCTACTAAAATACAAATAATTAGTCAGGTATGGTGGCATGTGCCGGTAGTCCCAGAGTTGGGAGGCTGAGGCAGGAGAATTGGTCGAACCCAGGAGGCAGAGGCTGCAGTGAGCCAAGAACCTGCTACGGCACTCCAACCTGGGTGACATAGCGAGACTCTATCTCAAAAAAACAAAAAAATAAAAAATGAATGAAAAAAATAGAGTGAATTAGAGCCATCTTGATATTTTCCTCCTGAATCATCTTTTTTCCCCAAATCTTTTCTATGCACTCCCCAAAAAGAAAGCTATTTTTCCTTTATGACCCAACAGAATGAGCTATTATAACCTTGTAATATGTGCAAATGTCTATCCACATTCAGACATCCCCAGCTGTGTGGCTGCCTTCATTCGCAGCAGGCAGTTGTGCTGCGGAAGGGCGCAGCATCGGCATGCGTGTGGAGTGAGTGAGTCCCGTCCTTCTCCTCTTCTCATTGACTCTCATTGCCTGACTACCTTGTGTCTTGGCCTCAGGTTGATCGTCCGGGGCTACCACCAACCCCTGGAGAGCAGTGGCTTCTGGTCCTTAAACAAGGAGGACACGTCAGAACAAGTCATGCCTGTTTTGGTAAAGAACTGGAAGAAGAAATGCACCAAGTCTAGGAAGTAAGTGTGTTTCCTTGTGCTCTAGAATGCCCCGGTTCCCTCATTTCTGCCCCTGTGGCCTGAATCCAGGCTGCAGCCCTGGCAGTGCTGCTTGTTACTAGCTTTGTGATTCTCCCTTCTCCTCCAGGCCTCAGTTTGTTTTTCTGCCAAATGGGGTAAAATCTCACAAGTCATTAAGGCAACTGAGTAGAAAAGAAGACAGAAGCTTGGCATGGTGCCTCACGTCTGTAATCCCAGCACTTTGGGAGGCCAAGGCGGGTGGATCACAAGGTCAGGAGTTTGAGTCCAGCCTGGCGAACATAGTGAAACCCCATCTCTACTAAAAATATAAAAATTAGCTGGGTGTGGTGGTGAGGGCCTGTAATCCCAGCTACTTAGGAGGCTGAGGCAGAAGAATCGCTTGATCCCAGGATGCAGAAGTTGCAGTGAGCCAAGATTGCACCACTGCACTTCAGCCTGGGAGACAAGTGAGACCGTCTCGAGAAAAGAAAAGGAGAGAGAAAAACGCTGCCGAAGCAGGCAGTTGATGTTGTTTGCCGTGGCACATGATTGTCCTTCCTTGAGTCAGTCTCACTTTTTCTGTCCCTTTCTGAGTGTCTGGCATCCTTTGTGTTCCTGCTGTTTGAAGTGTTTCTGTCCAACACACCCAGCTGACCATGTACATTTGTTTAGCCAAAGAAGCCCCATTTGCAGGTGATTTTGGCTGTACTGGATTTTAGACTCTACCCTCTATGTAAGGCACCACCATGCCTGACTTATTTATTTATTATTTTATATATGTATTTTTTTTTGGCACAGTTTTCATTCTTGTCACCCAGGCTGGAGTGCAGTGGCGCAATCTCGGCTCACCACAACCTCTGCCTCCTGGGTTCAAGCAGTTCTCTGCCTCAGCCTCCCGAGTAGCTGGGATGTGCCACCACACCCGGCTATTTTTGTATTTTGAGTAAAGACAGGGTTTCTCCATATTAGTCAGGCTGGTCTCTAACTCCCAACCTCAGGTGATCTGCCTGCCTTGGCTTCCCAAAGTACTGGTATTACAGGGGTGAGCCATGTGCCTGGCCTTTTTAATTTTCTTTTTTTTTTTTTTTTTTTTTTTATAGAGACAGGTCTCACAATGTTGCCCAGGCTGGTCTCCAACTCTTGGCTTCCAGAGGTCCTTCTATCTCAGCCTCCCAAGTAGCTGGGATTACAGTTGTGATCCACCATACACATCTAAGTTCTGGTTTAAAACAACCCAGGCTGCCCTGGGGAAGGTGGATATTAGGGATGAGAGTGAAGGCAGATAGACCTGGGTGGGGACCTCAAGGCCTGTCCATGAAGTTCCTTCATGCCTCACTGGGAGCCTCCATTTTATTTACTTATTTTGACACAGGGTCTCACTCTTCTGTCCAGACTGGAGTGCAGTGGTGCCATCTCAGCTCACTGCAGCCCCCGTCGCCTAGGTGGAGTGATCCTCCTACTTCAGCCTCCCGAGTAGCTGGGTCTATGGGCACGCGCCACCACACCTAATTTTTTTTTTGTAGAGATGGTATCCTGCCATGTTGTCCAGGTTGTGCTTGAGCTCCTGATCTCAAACAATCCACCTACCTTGGCCTCCAAAAGTACTGAGATTACAGGCATGAGCCGCCATTTATTACCCAGAGTATTTTCTGAAAATTCAGTGAGATAAATGCCATAATAAGCTGTGCCCTGGTCCTGAGCAAGTGCTGGGCAGGTTTTAGTTGTACAAGTTATATTTATTCATCTCTACACTTCCATCTTGCTAGGGAGGGTGTGGTGAGAACTGGCTCATTGGGCTTGAAAGCAGGCCACCTGAAAGGGGGCCGGCTCTGTGAGTACCTTGGTGTTTAGGGATGCTCAGCTTGGGGCCAGGGCATCATTTCCTAGGGACATTGACAGATGGATTGCTTGCTTTATTCCCAGAGGCATAAGCCAGATCTGGCACCTGTAGCCCCTGTGGAACTGGAGAGTGACAAGAACAACCCTGTCCTAGGCTGGAATTTCCTGGTGTGGCCCTTTACACCCAGATCCCTTTAGTTAACCGGAGAAGGGAATGCAGCCCATGCAGCTCTGGGCTGCTCAGGGACCACGTGAGGGAGGCCTGGGCTTGGAGGTCTGCATGGCTTCTTGGACCGCTTTACAATCTTTCTTCACCCTTGAGTGACTTCATCTCAAAAGTCAGGTGTGCTGGGACACAGTGGCTCATGCCTATAATGAAAGCACTTTGGAAGGTGGAGGTGGGAGAATCACCTGAGGTCATGAGTTTGAGACCAGCCTGGCCAGCATGGTGAAACCCCGTCTCTACTAAAAATACAAAAATTAGCTGGGTGTGGTCACACTTGCCTGTAATCCCAGCTACCTGGGAGGCTGAGGCACAAGGAATTGCTTGAACCTGGGAAGCAGAGGTTGCAGTGAGCCAAGATCACACCACTGCACTCCAGCCTGGGGGACAGAGTGAGACTCTATCTCAGAAAAAAAAAAAAAATGCGGGTGTGAGCAATCTCCCTGCTTCTACCTTTGGGTATGAAAACCCAGTGCTTCATTGGTTTGTGTGTAATGTTCTTTTTTGTGTATGGCCTCTTAGAGCTTAGGGCCATTTTGGATTGTGGTTTTTGCTGGAGTGACTATAAAATGCTTCTGTGACTCTGGAAGAGTTTGGCAGTTTTGTTTGTGTGGTTTTTTTTGTGTGTTTAACTATAGACATAGTTACTATACAGCCAGCCACTCCCTTCCCAGACATCCACCCAAGAGAGCTGAGAACATATGTTTATAAAAGACTGATACAGGAATGTTCTTAGCTACTTCGTTTGTGATAACTCAAACTGGAGGTAAGCCAGACATCTATTAGCAAGTGAACAGACAGATTTACCCATTATATGCATCTGCACAACTGAATTCTAAGTTATGTACAAGAATGAACCATTGGCTGGGCACAGTGGCTCATGCCTGTAATCTCAGCACTTTGGGAGGCTGAGGTGGGTGGATCACCAGAGGTCAGATTAAGGCCAGCCTGGCTAACTTGGAGAAACCCCATCTCTACCAAAAATACAAAAATTAGCCATGTATGGTGGTGTGCACTTGTAATCCTAGCTACTTGGGAGGCTGAGGCACGAGAATCGCTTGAACCTGGGAGGTGAAGGTTGCAGTGAGCCGAGATTGTGCCACTGCACTCCAGCCTGGGTGACAGAGCCAGACTCTGTCTCAAAAAAAAAAATAAATAAAAAAAATAAAAAAAAAAAAGATACCCAGGCGGATGGTCGGGATGGCTCACACCTGTAATCCTAGCACTTTGGGAAGCCAAGGTGGGTGGATCACCTGAGCTAAGGAGTTCAAGACCAGCCTGGGCAACACAGTGAAACCCCATCTCTAAAAATACAAAAAATTAGCTGGGCAAGGCAGCTTACACCTGTAGTCCCAGCTACTCGGGAGGCTGAGGCAGGAGAATCAGTTGAGCCCGGGAGGCAGAGGCTACAGTGAACGGAGATCGTGCTACTGCACTCCAGCCTAGGCGACAGTGAGAATTTGTCTCTTAAAAAAAAAATAAAAATGAGGCTGGGGACGGTGGCTCACGCCTGTAATCCCAACACTTTGGGAAGCCAAGGCGGGTATATCACCTGAGGTTGGGGTTCAAGACCAGCCTGACCAACATGGAGAAACCCCATCTCTACTAAAAATACAAAAAAAAAAATTTGAAGAGAAATAAAAGAGACAGGTTTCGTCAATGCACCCTGGTAAAGTTAAGGGACTAGAGTGTAAGAAGAATGTGATGTACAGGCAGAATGCAGGGGCAGTCGAGCTAGAAGTGATCTTAGGGAACACAGTCATGGAAGAGCAGCAAGATGCCATTTCTTGCTCAACTCCAGTCCTCTGATAGCAGTCACCTGGAGGGCTGCTTGAACGTAACTCAGTGGGAAAGAATGCCATGAGTGACTGTGGGTGTCTGCTGTGCGCGTGAGAAGGAAGGGAAGGGCCCAGTATTTGACATGCTTGAGATCTAACCCCTTCCTTTTCCATATGACAAAATCTAAAGCCAGAGAGGTGAGCTAACCAGCTTTGGGGTCACACTGTGAGCTGGCAGTAGAATGTGGCAGGTGACCTGACTCTCAGAAGAACATTCCTCTAAGCCAGGGGCTGGCCAAAAATGGACTGAGGTCCACATACGGCTCATGAGCTCAGCATGGATTTCATTTTTTAATTTTTTTGAGACAGAGTCTTGCTCTGTTGCCCAGGCTGGAGTGCAGTGGTATGACCTTGGCTCAACGCGACCTCTGCCTCCCAAAAAGCTGGAATGACTGTCATGCTCCACCACGCCCAGCTAATTTTTTTGTGGGGCACAGCGTCTCACTCTTTTGCCCAATCGGGAGTGCAGTGGCATGATCTTGGCTCACTGCAACTTCCACCTTTTGGGTTCAAGTGATCCTCCTGCCTCAGCCTCCTGAGTTAGCTGTGACCACAGGTATGCACCACCATGCCCAGCTAACTTTATTTTGTTTTATTTATTTATTTTTTTTGAGACGGAGTTTCACTCTTGTTACCCAGGCTGGAGTGCAATGGCGCGATCTCGGCTCACCGCAACCTCCGCCTCCTGGGTTCAGGCAATTCTCCTGCCTCAACCTCCTGAGTAGCTAGGATTACAGGTACGCGCCACCATGCCCAACTAATGTTTTGTATTTTTAGTAGAGACGGGGTTTCACCATGTTGACCAGGATGGTCTCGATCTCTTGACCTCGTGATCCACCCGCCTCGGCCTCCCAAAGTGCTGGGATTACAGGCTTGAGCCACTGTGC